AATGGGGTGCGTTCACAGTGAAACCAGCGTACCAGGTAGTTCGATCTTACTCCGAGGGCACTCTCGCTGAATGCAATCAGATTCACAGATTAACGCATTGAGTAGAATACCAAAAAAAAAAAAAAAGCTGTCAATAAAACTTGCACGTTGGAAACAAGGAGGATCTCACAAGTGTCGCCGAGTTGACTTTGCGTGGAACTTATTGCCTTGCAAAACCATGTTCGGCATTCTTTACTTGGACTTAGTTAAATTCCAGTTCTCAGTTGACAAATGGACAAAAACAAAAGGTCTTAAAGTGCATCTTTGAAGGGCCACTCTCAACACACCCCTGACAAAAGGGTGGCTTATGACAAATATCATCTGTTTATTATTTGACTAACGGTCATATTTAAGACCAAAACAGTTTAAGGTTATATATCCTGGAATGCATCACCTTTAACGCTTATGCTGATCAGCATGGTACTGCCATTGTCTTAAGGTGCCATTTTACCTGTTGAAATACCACGAAGCATGTAGGGGATTGCTCCGTAACCTCTGCAAAGAATGAGGCCGTCAATCAAGTGAATACATTTTGCTAAAGACAAATGAGCATTAAATAATAATATCTTAAAAATCAGTATCGTGGAAAGTCGTATTTAGCCCGATTTTGTCTAACAGGGTACATAATCTTATTAACGGGAAATGCAATAAGTTTGTGGGAACCGTGGGAACCACTTCGATCAGCACGAGCCGAGAAGTGAGCGCCAAGGGAAATTGTGTCCTTGGCTTCTTCTGTTAACGCTTTACAGACAGAAATATCTTGTCGAGGCACTGTAACATGCAAGGTTCATTGCCCTCTGGTCTAATTAACTCAAATAACGAGTTGTTGACTGATTCAAGGCTGAATAGCTTGATATACGAGTACGGCTATAACAACACCAGGAGCTTGTTAAAATTTAATAGCAACTCCTATAAACAACTGTGTTCAGCTGGTGAACTTATGACCCGATCTGGTGAATCTTTCAATGCATACTAAAATTGACATTAAGTAATCTGAAGCGCAGAGTGACCGAAGTGTATAGTAAAAACGATTGCCCAACTGAACCTTATATAGTTGCCAATGTTCTAACTCGTATCTTAATACTAAAACGCCCATTCTAAGATATCTGAACTCGGTATAAATATTACCTTTAGTACAAGAAGACTTAAAAAGACAACAATTTCTATTCAATTCCTATTGTTTTTTTTTTTCAATACTGCTTTTCATTATGACCATTACTTTTGCGTCATATCCCTGGGCGACAGTTTATCTCAAGTGTTTTTTAATGTTCAAATGCGCCTTAAGGGGGGGTCTTTATAAGTCTAAATGTTGAACTTCTGTAGGCATGCAGATTTGACTTTGCCATTTCAGTTAAGCGGTATAGTCAAAATTTAATTTAAAGTATTGATTGCTCGATAAAAGCTAGAAAATTCGGAAATGGCATTTCAGTAAAAATACAATAACCGGTGCGATGATCCGGTAGGTACAGAAGCTATTTTGGTTCAATTCTGTGTCTTCATACGACCTTTATCTCTGTAGTTACAAAATCTTCTCCGCATGAATGGACATATTTTTGTCGATTGGAAATTACACATTCTTTGCATGTAAACCGGTGATATACTGATGTGCAGAGCATCACTGCGTAGGTTGGCGGCCATTTTGGATTTTGGCCAACAAAGATAATTTGGCGCCTATTGGTTCTGGTGGGAAATTCGCTTTGCTTTATTGGTCCCTTATGAACCTGATTCGGTTTTAGATCTCATTTGGGAACATTTTCTTCTTCGGTCATTTATTGAACGGTATTTGACATGTGCTTAGATTTTGTTGAATGGATTTAAGCTACAAATGGCTGACAACGCATATTTACTCACAACATTGCGAAACGCTGGTTCAGCTGGTGATAGTTTTAAAACACCTGCAGGCTTGCATTAATTTTGCCGTTTATGTGTTATAGATAATAAATTATGGAGACTTAAAACGGCAGCTATATTTATAATGTTTGATTCACATTTGAGACAACAGTTCAGCAGGTAATCATGTTCAATGACATGATATGAAATATTGATACAAGTAGGCCAGCACAACGCTCTCATTCAGTGCGCTTGCCTTCCGTTGTTTACTGATAAAAAGGTATATCAAAGATAGAATTACTTTTATGATGTTTAATCTCTCTTTTTCAAATGCGCTAGGCAACCCTGAAACAAGTCATAGCAAAGTAATAGCAATAATATTCGTTAAATTGTATAAAGCAGACCAATGCTTTCATTTAAGGAAGCTCTCTCATATTTCAGAAACACCATTTCTGTCACATATACAGGAGAGTGTTTGTTATGAATTATGTAATTAAAAACACGGAAGAGGAGGATGCTCATTAAATAAAGAATATGTCTTTAAAGAGAAACGAGTTACTAAATAGCCGTTTTATCACTTATTTCTTGGATTCTAGAGCGTTGAGTATGCGTGCTTGGGTTTATTTATTTATTTATTTATTTATTAAGAGGTATTAAACAGTTTATTTTCTGAGTATGAAAAGGAATAATAGCTAGCTTAATGATACGTTATTGTGCGATAATTTATATATTTATCTTCCTTGTGCAATTACCTTCAATTTAGAATCGGAAGCACCTGAGTGCAAAGTGTCCCTTTGGGCTCCTTACCTCCACGCCAAGGTTTTACTCGGAAATCTCAAAATACAAAAGAGCCAGTTAAAATTCAATTTGCCTGATTTTCCTTGTCTCGTAGACATGTGACTCAGGTTGCAGAAGTAATCTATTAACAGAACTCCGGAGCCAACTGGCTGTTCTGGGCGGCTTCTGGGGCAGGTTAATTGTTCAGCGTTACCCAGAAGAGAAAATAAAGTGCGCATAACAGCAGTCCTCAAGAGAATCCGTCCAAATCTTCATCCGCTCTTACACGCATTTGATAAGTCAGATTAGTCCTGTGAGACAGTTGTCTACATGTAAAGGACGGGGGAATTATTTTCACCCCAGTTCAAGCTCCTCTCCACTACCCCACTCGATTGTAAAATATCTTATTCTAGCGTCCTTTCATTCACTCTAAGGGGGTTTTAACCCCCCCTCCCCCCTCCCCCCCCCCCCCAAATCACCACCACCAACAGCACCAACAACCCTTTAATGTCATAGCAAAACCCATGACCTTTACTTACATTCAATGCTCTTGGTTTTCATCTCCTATTGGTCTTATTTTGTCTTCCTAGAGGTCTGCTTGCTATGAGAAAAACACAATAAAAAGTCTCCTTTCTTATTCTCTAGTTTTATACTAAAGCCAGTCGCACCTGTCTTGGCTAATTATTGTCTCCACTAGATGACGCCGACTGTGTTGATAATAAGTACCGACCGCCGATGAGCCGGATGTCTTTGGTTATGAAACGATCACTTAAGACAAAATCCAAGAAAAATAATTCCCTAGAAATTGGTGTGCAGGCAGCGAGTGAGCCGGATTTCTTTGATTATGACACGACTAGTTAAGACAAAATCCAAGCATCATAATTCCCTAGAAATTGCTGTGCGGGCAGAAATAGTAGCTTGAGTGCACTGTGAACAGATGGAGATACGCATCGACGAGGCGATACCAGTATTTCAGACAGCAGAATTAAAGGACACCTCTGCCTGCATGAGGTCTTCTCTGGCTGTTACAGTATTAAATAATAATAAAACAAATAATTGCAATAGTCTTCTTGTACAGAGTTAAGAGTTCATCAATGGCTAGCCACTCTTTGTGAATGATTATGATAAATGCGTATATTTGGCCTGAGAGAGAGAGAAAGAGAGAGAGAGAGAGAGAAAGAGAGAGGGGGAGAGAGAGAGAGAGAATGAGAGAGGGAGTGACAGAGAGGCCGCATTCAGAGCAATGGACTAACTACCCCACGGGTCAAATATGGCTACCCACTAAAAAGCTTGCCGTCTAATCCGCTAATATAGACGCTGAATAGATTCCCCATAGGGAAATAAACATGTGGGTCGGACACGTTTGACCCTCGAACTAGTAAGTCCACTGTTCTGAATGAGGCCAGAGAGAGAGAGAGAGAGAGAGAGAGAGAGAGAGTGTTTCATTTTATTATGAAGAATAAAAAAAATACACCAAGGGCATATTGTCGCAGTATTACTATCACACTCTCGTGCTCTCTTATGTACTAACTGTACACATACTAGTACAATGTTTCAAAACACTATATACTCGCATAATCACATAAGGGTCCCATTGGTCTCGCATGATGATTCTACATACAGTGTACACATTATATTTGACTTATTTTGTAGTTGATGAATTGATTGTTGACTGAAGTACACAGACGTCAGTTTCACAAGGTTTATTGGGTATAAATATGGAAATGTTTTGATATAGCTGAGGTCCTGGATCGCCTGCTGGTAACTGAGAATTTGAATTCGTACAAAGTTCTTCTGTAAACAATGCCTGGTAATGACATTTAAAACTTGCATGAGAAAAATATAGTGAGATCAACAACAGATATTTGCACGACCTTGTGACAAATTCATTTTTGTTTTCCTTCCGTATTGCTAACCTTTAGGACTTCAAACGAAACCATATTCAAGCTGATAATTAATGGATTTTTCATTTAAATAATATAGTGTTTCGGTTTTAAAAGTGTTGATATAGATCTGACATATTCTTCAGTTTACAGTGACGTCGCTAGGTGTCCTTGGTGTCGCTAGTGGTAGAAACTATTGTTGACCCCCTTCCCCTCACAATAATTCATCTGTGGCCTGCCTACATAATATTTGGTTACCTTCTTCTAGGGTCACAGATTGGTTTTTCACAAGATATTCACATATATGTCTTAAAATAAATAGACGATCATTTGGTTCACATTTAGAAGATTGACCATATTTATCCAGGGACGTTATCTGTGAATATCTGGTGAAAAATCAAGATGTCGCCGTGGTGGAGGATAGTATTTGGCTCGCGTTATCTGTTCTACTTTACTTTGTTTTAAAAATACACTCCTCAGAATACATCCCCCTCCTCCAACTCTCCACTTATGGAAGAGCGGAACGGTCATCAATGACCCCAGGCCAGCTACCCGGAAGTAGCACCTGGAGCCCGCTTCGCGCTCAGAAGGGGATGCTGCACCTCGTCATCAGAGTGTACAGTCCGGTATCAGTTTTACCTGACGTCCCGGCGATACATACTATAGAAATGATCCCTAAAAGTATGATCTTGCCTGTGTAATGAACTACAGCACAATAAATGCAATTTTCATATGTCTGTCAAAATGCCATTTGTGAGATATTATAGAAAAAGGTTATTATCTTTATAAATTAAATTAGGATCAATATATATCAAAGCAATACAAAATCATATTACCGATATTTATCTTATAATATTGATTTAATTTTTATAAAATGTTGTCCGGGTAATGGATGTTTTTTTTCTTTAAAAATGATTGCTTTTGAAGTATCGGATCTAGAGTATAGGGGTGACGTCATGAGCAGCAAAATAAATTTCTTGCCGTTTAATTCATCTGGTGCAACTCATTATTCTATATAATGGAAGGATCATATCTTAACGATCTTTAAAGGCAGTATACAGGTATACAAACGTATATAGTAAGCAATATCGTTTATTAGTATAGTCATCAGCTGATTCCTGGGGCGAAAGTAACACAGGTCACGTGGTGCCATAGCAACTAGACGCCATTATCGCGGCGGATGCCCCACATTGATCCAGGCGGGGAAACACAATACGTTATACTGCCAGTTAAAAGGGATTATCCGATTAAAAAATGCATGACGTATCAAGCTTCAGGGGGTTTTGTGTGTAACGCTAAGAGACATGATTTGAAATATTCTCTTCAGAACAAATCTTTATTTATACCTTTCTTATACCAACGTAAAGATTTAAGAGAGTAAATGTTTTTTTTAAATTTAAATTTTAGCGTCTATATACACGGGGACACTCCAAATATATAGCTAATCAGGCCAGTACACAAAAGTTGTAAATCAGATAAATTGTAAATTGTCTTTTTGGACAATAATTATTTGCCCATGTATTCATGGTCCAATTGCCCTCAACCTATAGAAAATTATAATACGGTCATCATTAAAATATACACATAAGTCACACATAATGTGAAATATGGACCCAACAGGTTAAATATGTCCTAGTTAAGTCCCCCGCCTGCATTCTTTATTTATTTAATGATCAATGGCAGTATAATGGAGACCTGACCTCGCGCCCCTACATAGCAACCGTCACAGAATGCGAGTGCGTGCATTAACACAGTGCAGTACTAGGACTTGATACCTTCCTCGGAGTAGGACGCTGAAATTGGGACAAAGCAGCACTTTGATCCTCTTGCGCGTCTTCAAGGATCACGTTTGGATATTGGCAGTGTTTTATCTAAAGCGCCGAGTAATTAAACAGCCCCAGGAAGATAAATACGGGACAAAACCATTCAACTTGTTAGTCAATCAGACTGTGGTACGTGACATACTGTAAACATGGCAGACGAGGAAAACCCAGGAAGTCCAACGGCAGGGAGTCCTAAGCCCGCTGAAAGCCCCCGTCAAGGCAGCCCGAGACGGGACAGTCCCCGACACAGCGTGGCATCAGCGCCTCGCTCTCCTCGCTCGCCGAGGAAGTCGCGTGCGAACAAAATCTACCGCACACCCCCGACCCCCCCACCCGAGGAAATGCTGGCCATGGAGAAGGGGTTCATACGGGACAATATAGCTTGTGGAAGTATAGCCGGGGACTATGCTAAGGCCAACCCCAAGGTGGGACCGGTCGTCCCTCCTTATAATGGTCAGAAGGATAAACATGCCAGACCGTATTTTGGCTTTCACAGCGTGCCACAGAGTCTCAAGTTTTATGACCAGGTAAGGGCTCTACCACACTTAATAACACACGCACGCACACACACAAACACACAGGCGCCTTGTGATAGAATGTAAGGCGCCATATAAGAATCTTATTATTATTATTATAAATGCACGTACACACACACACACACACACACACACACACACACGTACGGGAAGAGTGAAATAGAGAGGTGATAGACAGGTGGCATTCTTATGAAGAGGTCAAACATTTTCCGTCGTAATTGTAACTGTCGTAATAAAAAAGTAAAACTATAAAAGTTCTAGCTGGTTATGAAGACGAGAGTTTCAGATTGACCACGAAACCATCACCACCACACATAGTGTCATCTCAGCCCTAACTCACAGGGTGTCTCACTCCCCACACCGGGTATCTCACAATGGGTGTCCACTCCCCCCCGCCCATCACCCAGGATGCCCCACCCCCACCCCACCCTCATTACCACCACACAGGTCATGTGGCTTTATTTTATAGAGTTCAGTCTTATCACAGATATGAAAAGCAATGGCAGTGTAAAAACGCACGATGTTTCTGGAGCAAGAATATATACGTAATATAATGTGGCAGTTCACCTAGTACGACAGCTGGACTGCGCGTTTTCTTGGGAGAGTGAGAACAGGAAACCAGCTCTGATCACTTTTTCTTTGAAATGAATAGAAATGAATAGAAGTAACTCTTCCCACTTTGTTTCCAGGAAGATGGCGGCTGTTCAATAGAAGGCAAAGTGATGGACAGGTTCCACGAGGCAGGTGCAGGACATCAGTATTTAGTTCTAAGAAACCAATTTGGAGCAGGTGAGTTGTCTGGCTTCATAGAGGTATACTACACGTTTGAAAATCTCCCCAAATCATAGAGGTATACTATACGTTTGAAAATCTCCCCAAATCATATTTTTATGCTTGCAAGGCCATTAGACGAAAAAATACGATATTGGGGCATTTGCAAAGGCGGAGAAAGGACTGAAAAGTATTTTTGTGCTGAAAGTGTTCACAAAGCCAAATTAACATTAAAGATTAAACAAGAAAAAAAAGGCATTTAACGTGAAGGAGATAGAAGTTATTAGTTTTAAATAGAAAAGTACAGCTACATGTGTCGTCTAATCGATCAGACTCGAAACGTTTCTTTCGGAAATCATTGTAAATCTGTTTCTAAACTTTTCCATTTGTTGTATTTTAGGTCACTCCAGTGAAGATGTAGATGGTCACTCTCAGTTTATGCAGGGGGTCAAGCCGGTCATCGGATACCACGGCCCTTACGGGTTCCGCAGGAACACGCCCTGGCTCAGAGCGGAGCCTTCCCCTTTCGGACCACCGACGCGTTCACCTCTGCATTAACTTTAAAAAAAATTTGAAAAAAAAACTTTGAAAAAACTTAACTTACTAGTTACGCTCACTTTTACTCTCTGCCTACAGGGTGCGCTAGTTGTTTGTTACAAAAATGTTGAATGGCGCACAGTGTAATTTTGTATATTATCTTAGGAGCTCCTGATACATGTATCAGAGGGTAGCTTACTCCTATATCTGGTACATGACTTCTTTAACACTGAAATGGCCACCAACATTATACAATGTAAGACTTTTTTCACTGATCGATTGCAATAGTGACGATGATATGGTGAAGTCTTTTACTCTCCAATATTTGTCAATAAGTGCCTTGTTTAAAACAGGGAGTTATATTCTGTTCGTAGCTGGTGAGGCTTAAACATTATGAAGATGCCAATCTTTGTTTGTTTTCAGAAATAAAGTAGTCACATTTTGAATCAAAGCATTCTGCCCACGCTTTCATCTGAATCAGACCAAAAGCATCTATTTCATTATTGGAAACTTAACCAACCTTCATCTTTCCAATACAGTCTCAAAACTCAATTTGATCTCCCGTCTAAAATTAGACGTCGGTAGTTGCTATCTCCGTCGCTTTTTGGATCGTTTTATTAGAGGACATTGATGTCATGTCTCAGGAAATGAGCATGTTCAGTGATTGGAAAACCGTCAAGTTCGCAGCCATACCTGTTATTATATGAAGCTTATCTATATCTTTATTGATCCTTTTTTCATACACTGGGCTGGACTTGAACATTTTTACAGAGATGTATAAAAAAAGTATGAAAATTATGCTTTCTACGCTTAAAGTGGGACCCGATTGAAGCTCCCCATTGGGCGACGCCTGTTTTATGCTGTCAGTGATCGTCAAATGTTTGTCGTCACAATTCAAGATTCAAGATTTTAAAATATCTTTTTTTCCTTCTCCTTCAAGCAAGCTTGACATTTTATCGTTGTCTAGCTTTCCGCCATTCATGTAATACGTTATCGCGTCAATATACTGTGTGCGGAAGGCCTACACATACTATATACCCTCTACCAGGGTGGCAGATATTATAAGGAAATTTTCCAAAAGCCAGAAAAACCAAATGGCCGTCTATTTATCTAAAGACATCCGTGAATATCTTGTGAAATATCAATCTGTCGCCCAGGTAGAGGGTACAAGTGCTATATACACATACAATGAGCTGTATATGTACATGTCGCAGTACACGTAGAACGCTTTTTACGGCATCTTAATTTAGGGCAGTACAGTTTAAATACTTACAAAATACAATTAACATTTTAATATTTTGTATGGTCGACCTTGTTGGTGAAAGAGGTAACTTGTAATTAAGTTTGAATAAATATTTTTGACACTACCAGTGGTTTTGTTGAGCCCATATGCCGCGTCATGGCATTCTCGTACACAGTAAAATTAGAAAGTTGCCCGAGCCACATTTTTCAGTATTTGTGGTAAATAAGATAATACTGAAAGGTTTGAAACAGTGGTTCACTGTGTCGATGTCGTGTGAGTGCGACAGAGCGATTTAGAAAAGAAATGGAGAGAGAAAGAGAAGAGGAGGAAAAAGAAACATAGGGTGCGAGGTTACTAGTGGGCGGAGCTGTTCAGTGAAACGAAAATTGGTCAAATCATTCAAGACAGCAACTTCAAGGGGGAGGGTCTTTTTCTGAAAAACTGAACTTTTTACCGAATACCTTCGTGTATCTAGATCACATTTTACCCAGAGCGGTTCTTTTACCAGCAAAGAAGTACGTTTGTGTATTAACATAAGCACAGTATACACCGGTTCCAGCAGTCACTTCAAATACTTTTTTTAGATTTTTATTGTCATCAGATTTTGACAAAATTTACAAAATATATATGCATCTATAATTCATATAATATACAATTCATACAATCTGATATGATTTAAAATTTATTTCAGTAAAAATCTATATAAGAACTACTATTGGTCCGTCTATAATTTGGCACTAAGGTAAATTAAGTGCATTAAAATAAACTTTGTTCAACACTTCTGTACTGTAACGACTTCTGTAGAATATAACATGTTATAGATCTCCATCTCTTTACAAACAAATCTCTTTGCGGTAATGACAGAGAAGGCCCTTAACTTCATTAAGGACACATCTTAATCAATTCTCCCTTTGTAAAAGACAGAATTTCTCCCTATTGTTTTCTAAGACACTTAAATTGGTGCCATTAAAATGTTTACCAGAATTAAAATAAAAATTAATACGATAATAGTTGACTTCCCAATTTCCAGCAGTAAAAAGGTTTTCACTGTTTTGAAAGATGCCATTATCAAGATTTCTACAGGTAAAGAATGATGAGAATGGACCTAAACGAAAGTGTAATATGATGAGACACAACACCGAGTTATTCCAAGACCAAGAGTCTGATTGTTTGTAAGGGTCCACAAAGCCACAAAAATATCATGAGTTTATATATAATTAAACATTGCTGTTGTAGAAAGATGTGCTGACAAAGAAATTAATATTTAATTCCAAATGCAATTTCTCAGCTAACCTCTTGTATTTGACATAAGATCCTGTAGAAAAAAGATCCTGTAGAAGAGCTTTAACAGCTCATTTTCAATGCTGACAGTAAAAATATAGATCATACTTAATACAATAACCAAGTCCGCAATCTCCATTCTTAAACATCGCGTCTTCCTCTCCTTTCCTTTTTTCTGCCATTTTGTTTTTATTCATTTAACTATTCCTCTATTATTATAGATAAATATCTGGTACTTAACTGCTTAACTCACATTATGTCTCCATGTGTAATAGACGGATAAATGGAATTCTCACAACCAGAGGTACTTAATACCAGTGACAAAATAATCACAATACATTTAACAGGACAGACGTTTCACTTTTTTTCACACTCTGGCATATCATATATTATAAGTCTCAGGTTATAGTACTGTTAACAATTTATCTTGAATACAGAAAATTTATCTTTGGTCATTTCTTTTCCTGAATATACATACATCTTCTGTACAAATAAGAGAATACATATATTTATATTTATGTATAATAGAAGGATACATTGACACATTGTTCACATTGCTTCAATTGGACAGTGCACTGTTTATCACTTTATAAAATTTTTATTAAAAAATCTAAGTTAGCTTCACAAATTTTTGTCATCATTTAAAATATCATGTCATGAAGGCCTGGTGTGCTTTCTATCTAAATATCTCCCTTATCACCCTATTGAAGACTTGTCTGCTGACTGCATGAGAGCTGGCTGTGAGGAACTGTATGCTATCCTAAACCCTGGACCAGTTTGAGACTGGTCTGAGCGGAAAAAGATTGTAACTGCTCTACCTGAGGCTGTGAATTCGGCTGGCATTGACTGCAAAATGGAAGAGAGGCATTAAAGATCAAGTGATATTTTTTAAATTTTGAAAGAACAGTTTCTAAAGTTTTTTTATCTTTTCAATTGGCACTAAAATTTTAGTATCTGCATTTGGAGTTTTCTATTCATTTATTGTATGTTTAGACCATGTATAATACTCACATCTCCACAGTATCGTCCCACCCGCGTGGACGAGGTGGAGGGTCCGTCATACACGTCTACCCAGTCATAGTTACAGCTGTCGTGATATTCAATATTGAAGGCAGTGAAGGTGATGGTGACCACCTTCCTGGCAGGCACCTGCACCAGCCATGTACAGTTTCTGTTGTTGGTATATGGTTGTGGGTACAGTGGAGATGTGAAACTGCCGTAGCTGTCTTTGAAGGTACCGCCACAACCTGGAAATTATAATTGTTATTTTGATAAATTTTGAGTTGTGTATAAAATGTTTAATTCATTGTGCACCCTGTTAAAATAATGATTTTTTGAAATTAATTGTTTGAAAGGCTTTCTTATTAAAAATTCTACAACTGTCTGTCAACACAGATCTGGAGACTTAAAAAACAATTACACTCACATTAATACAGCCTAGCGGCTTACTTTATCCAGGTCTATATGTACAATGACTTCCTAATAATGACTCTTTTCTTTTCAATGGGGAAAATTTTTGAATTTTACAGATACTACAGATTTTTAAAACTAATTAATATTTTGAATTTGAACTTCCCAATTGAGTGGTAGCCATTTGTAAAGAAGTCTACCCTGTAGCACTATTCTTCACAGTAAAAACATCACAAAACGGAGATAGAAATAAAATTTTTTAAGATTCCAAACTAATGTATCTAAAAGATGGATAATTTTTCAGATTAAGATCTAGCCATGACCATATAGTTTCCCTACCTGGTGCTGAAGAGCTGGAAGCAAATGTGATATCATATCCTGGATGTGTAACAGAGTTATCAGTGAGGAAGAACATCCAGATAGAGTTCCCAGTGGCAAACACAGGGTCTGGGAGGGTGTTACCACAATACTTCCCTACCAGACCAGCACTGGCATCTGAACCATTACGAATCTGAAAATATACATAGTTGAAGACAATTAATTAATTTTCTGAGACATTAAAAATCTAGAAATATATGGCCAAATAGCTAAATGTAAATTTTAAATTATCTGAACCATTCCAAATCTGAAATATATGGCCAAATAGACAAAGCTAAATTGACACTAAACTGAGGCTTTCTTATTTTATTGTATTTTGCTCCTTTTTACTTTGTTTTTTATTTTATTTCATCTTCTCATTTCCCTTTTCTTTTCATTTCACATTATTTAATCTTACTCATTTATTTATTTTATATATATTTTTTCAACCTAAAGCCATAAAGCCATTCACAAGAATTGCAACTCTGTCATAAGCAGTACCTTTACCTGTCCTGTATAAGTACTCACCTCTAGGTAGTCAAAGTTACAAGATGTGTGTGGTTCTATGTAGAAAGAGTTGAAGTATAGAGACAGGTACGTGCCAGGTGGGGATTGAATGACGACGTAACATCGAGAGTAACTGGGATAGCGTCCCGGCCACCCTGGGCTGGTCACTCGGCCTGTGGAGCCACTGTGAGTTCTGTTGCAGGCTAGAAATAGAGAAGATCATTTAAAACCTGAGAACACATTAAAGGAATGCAGACCTGAGTTTAATAGATTTATTTTTTCAATGGATCACCATCAAAAATTTCATTGATTTTCAGTAAGGCCATTTTTGACCTATCCTGAAAATTTCATGAAAATCCACCCTATAACTTTTTTAGGCTGTTTCCTAGGAAACAAACAAAAAGTAAAACCACAACCCCCTGGGTGGAGATCAAAATAGCCATTTGGATCAATACTTGAATAATATTCTGTAATCACTTTGTTCACATTACTATTAATTAATCAACCACCTTTAAAACAAGTAAATTGCAACCAAACCAATACAAACTTATAGACATCTCTGTGAAATTATTCATCAGAAATCAAGTTGGAATTAAATTTCAATTCAATGTATAAAACTCACAAGCCACTTGATAGGTGAGAGAGAAGCCGGGGGCTGTTGCAGAGGCATCAGTGACAAAGTTAATCTGCATGGTTCTCCCTTTACTAGTGAACAATGGGGGTAACTGACTGCCACAATACATCAGGATCTGACCATTGTCTCCCTGAATAAATAAATAAATAAATAAATAAATAAATAAATAAATAAATAAATAAATTTGTGTGCAAAACTGATAACATTTGTTGTTATAATGCAAAGAAACACCAGACATGGAAAAGTGAAGAAGTGTTTTTTGAAAACGCAATGGAAACTGAATTGTCCAAAATCAAGAACGTATTATTTCCAGAATTCAAGAGGAATGAGGACATCCGACGTAATACATTCTTCATTTTCTTCATGTCTGAGAAACATTAGTTCTAATAATGCAGTGGAATTTCAAATGCTATACCCTTCTCTCACTTACCAAAGGTTTATCTCTTAACTCTAAGTAGTCATATTGACAGTTGGCATGGTTCTCTACATTGAAGTCTGTCACGTTGACGTCAATCTGCTGGTTAAGTCCAGCATCAATGGTCCAGCGACAACGCAGGTTGTGTGGATACGAGTTGGGGTAGTTAGGAGAGGATATCGTCTGCGGGGATGTCGTGGCTGTTCTCACTCCTCCACAGAGTGCTGGAAGTTAAATGAAATAAAACTTCATTATTATAACAATATATTTATTTATTCTGTAACATGGCAGAATATTTTGAAATAAAGCCAAGTTGAGAGTCAGAATTAACTGATCAAGAATGACAAATAGTTTACTGTATATACATTCACTGGATGACAGGTCAACTTGACATGAGAGCAGGTACATGAAAATGTTACAACTTATGAACTTGTATTGAAATGTATGATTTTTCATGTTCCTTCATAAACACTTATATTTCTTAAAACACACACACACACACTTACCATCCACCTGTCTGTAGGAAATATTGAAGCCTCTTCCTCCCACAGAGCCATCTGTATAAAACTTGATGTACACCATGTTACTGGACGACACAAAGTAGGTCAACGGGCGACTTCCACAGTATTTACCCACCAGAGGGTCGTCACTCGTTAGCCCGTCTCTCACCTTTAATATATAATACGGTAAGACTTTAAGATATGTAACTTACAGGTGCTGGTTTAAAGGCATAGGAGTTTACATTGAAATTATTTTGAAATTGTTTCTTTGGAATTTTCATGGTTATTTTCTATATTACAAATAAATACAAATGCAAAATACCGAAAAATAAATTGAGATTGTCTACTTGATATCACAAATATTAAACTGAAAATAAAACAGCTGTCACAATCCCACACCATTTTCTTCCATACCATTAGTATTCCTTCACAATATCAAACCATTTTCACACTGTTACTTAGTGTTATCATAATATCAAGCTTTATTTTACACTGTTACTCTAAGTTCTCACAATACCAAGCTATTTTCCTCCACTACCCACCTCTAAGTAATCATAGTCACAGGTGTTGTCTGCTTCAATGTCCATGGGTTCAAAGGTCAGATTCAACACTTTGTTGTCCTGACCCACAATCTGCCAGACACAGTTCAAGTTATCCTCGTACAGTCCATCCCCGTCAATGTCAAAGGAGCCGAACCTTCCCTGGGTGCCGTTCAGGAAGCCACCGCAAAGTGGGACACCTGGGAATGGAAACGTTGGTAGAATTGACAAATTATTATCATGCTAGTTCAGCCCAAACTAACTGACATCAAAGGACCCAAATCTACATTTGTGAACCTTTATTGCATAGCCTGAATATCTAAGATTGAAGAAACTGTGATGTCTTAGGACATGCACTAAAAATATTATTTAAGGTAGATCGGTCGTTACGTAATTTGACGATTTGCGCAATTTCAGCGCATCGTCAATCGTCTCTAACGACACTTCAGTCTGTTTTATCAATTTGAGGAAATAAAACAATTATCTATAAGATAAACACACATTATCAACTTGTCTGTAACTCTGTATGATCGATACAGATTTTCGACATTGTTTGTCGACTATGAATCCATACGACAACTGTAGCACGTTCATAGACTTGCCCTTCAAGAAATCGTCGGAATAGCTCCTTTTACAATTTGAATTGGCACTAGAGATGTATGACAGCTAAAGCTCTCTAATTATGCACGTAGATGCTATATCATGTAAAGAATAAGTGTTGTAAATTCCAATCAAAGCGGCTGCGTACATTTTGAGGTAGAACGCCCTGAATGTGCTGCAACTCGCAGCTTAGATTTCGACGAAAACCGGAAGTGCGTCGTACCGCCACTCATTTGGACTTAGAGAAATTTGGACTGAGAAATATTTCGTAGCTTATACAAATGTTCAGAAAATGGCCATACAGCTTGAAGATAATTCACTAATCAAAATTGAAACTGCGTTATATTATACAGAAAAATTGTGCACTTCTGACCTTGACTAGTCAGTGTAAACAAAGTGTACTAAACGCACCGCAAGCAAGCATGCACGTGAATACCGCATTTGATACTTTGTATCAGACGCTTCATTTTACTTGACAACACAGTGTTTACGATGTCACGTTCATGTTATATTCATTAAAAAAATAACAACGGCAGTAAACTATTTTCATATGCATGAGTATTTCCCTTATTATTCTCTTCAAGAATTTTGTTGTAAAGTTAATGGCTTACACCTTCTCATCAGTTTGACAAATCTGAAAATAGCTGAGTATACTCACTTCAACTGTTAAACAAAATGAAAGTTTTAAATGTACTTAGATGTCTCTTCACACACACACACAAAAAAAAAAAAAAAAAAAAATCATAAAAAATAACGATTTAGTGAAAAACACCCATTTTCCCATTGATTTGAATGGGGACTTCCGACTAGTGCGTCACGCAGGGTGTAACGCACTTCAACTTGGCGTAGTTCTCTTATTTGGTCTGTGACCCCCAACTTTTTTGGCAAAATTAAAATCTACTTGGATGCCTCTTTACACAAAAAAGTTTTCTTTTTAATTCAAACGTTAGAAAAATCATAAAAAATAACGTTTTGGTGAAAAACACCCATTTCCCCATTGATTGGAATGGGGACTAGTGCGTCACGCAGGGTGTAGCGCACTTCAACTTGGCGTAGTTCTCTTATTTGGTCGGTGACCCCCAATTTTTTTGGTAAAATTTAAATGTACTTGGAGGCCTCTTTACACAAAAAAAAAATTAAAAAAATTGGAACGTCAGAAAGTCATAAAAAATAATGCTTTAGTGAGAAAACACCCATTTTCCCATTGATTTGAATGGGGACTAGTGCGATATGCAGGGTGTATCATATTTGGGGCTAGTTCTCTTTTTTGGTCGGTGACCCCCAATTTTTTTTGCAAATTTTTAATGTACTTGGGTGTCTCTTCAAACAAAAAATTTTTTTTAAAAATTCGAACGTTGGAACATGTAACGACCGATCTACCTTAATACCATATTTGTTTTAACTGTGATCAGATACCTAACAAATTATAGGGGAAACAACACTGGCACACTGAATATTGCAAGCACTTGCTGCTTACAATATATTTTACAGAGAAAATGACTTAAAATCTATTATAAAAGATAAAATAAAATGATGTAGGCAATAATATGGAAATATTTTGGCATGCCAACCTACCAAAAGTAGTCCTGTAAGAAGCAGTGAAGCCTGCGCCATTGATGGAGGCGTCCGAGACAAAGTTGACAGTCATGGTGTTCCCAGTAGTTCGCACTGGCTCAGGGATCACATTACTACAGAATCGTCCAATCAGAGGAGATGTCAGGCTGTTACCATCTCGTACATCTACGTAGTCATAGTTGCAGCTAGAGTGAGTCTCAATGTCAAAGATGTTGAATCTGGAGGAAAAAATCCATTAGCTATAAACTTGTTCTGTTATTTTATGCCTTGATGCTTTGAAAACCTTGGTTTTGAGAGAAGTAGGGAATTTGGCCAAAAAACTGAGGTGAAACTAATATATAAATTGTAAGTACATATTTCATCAGGGTTTTGTCTCCTACAGGAGAGAGAAATGGCTTTGATAAATTTGAGTACTTCTTAAATACACAAATTTTCAAGGCTGTACAATGACATGTACAGATGGCACTGTAGTAATAGTAAAAGATGTAGTGTTTATACACAGCTATAAAGAGATCCCAGTCCACTTACTTCAGTTCCACCACTCTATCAGGCTGTACAGTGATGGACCAGGTACAGTTAGCATTGTGATGATAGTTCACGGGGTGTTGTGGGGTTCTTATGGTCCCCTGGGGGGCTGTATACACACCACCACATTCTGGAAAATATTGATGGAGTTGGTTTAACATCCACAGAGATGGTGAGAGGACTAAAAAGTTCTTATAATTATACATGTTTTAAAATGAGGAGGAGTGTCACTCTGAGGAAGAACATGTATATAAATTTAAAATTGAACATAATAAAATCAATATCAAAATAACAATTTCACTTTTTGTGGAAATGGGACAAGTCATTTCTTCCAAAAAATCAGTGGAAAATATAAACTCTTCAAGAAAATCTTCTAAAGAAAATGTAGCCTCTTCAAGAAAATCTTCCACAAAAAAAAGGTATTTCATGGGGCTTTATTCACATTGCTCATCATTTCCCCACTCACCCATTGCTGAATAAGTAGCTCTGTACCCTCGTGCCACTATGGAGCTGTCCGTGACAAACTGGATAAACATGACCCCCAGAGATGAGACAGGAGCAGGGGCAGTCGTTCCGCAGAATTTCCCAAGGAGGTTGGAGTCTGAGCCATTTCCAGTGTAGGCGGCAACGTAATCATACGGACAACCTGTGCCACCTGGCAATAAAACACATCATTTAGGTGACTAAATATAGACTGAATTGGCTATAATGCAACTTAGAAACTATTCCACAGAATTGCTACAGCTGGCCTTATGCCGCTGTCAATGTTACATTGTACTTTGAGAAAAGAACTCAGATAATAATGAATAATTTTAGACAAATTTTTGGTTGTTCACAAAGACAGGCAAATGTTTTTTGTTCAATGTTATTTTAATTATCTAAAATGGACATAAAGCTTTTGGTGTAGACTTTGTAAACTGTATGTCTTGTTCAGCTGTGAAAGGCAGAACTTGTGGTGAATATTGAATATATAATAAATAACATAAATTAAGAATAACTAATGGCATATCTTTTCACATTGGAACAATAATGAATGTAAAGTCAACACAAACCTTCAATATTGAAATTTTCTTCATCAAATGTCAGCAGCACAAACTTCTGTGGGTCCACCATAATGGTGTAGTTACATGTAAGATTGTTCTCATAGTTGCCAGGGAAACCAGGAGAAAGAATGATGCCAGTGTCCTGAGTAAAAAGGGCGCCACAACCTACACACAGAATAATGCACACAGTATGAGAATAATACAGAATAATATTGATACATGTAAGTAATGCAACATCTGTAATATACTTCAACAGATCATAGTTTACCCTGCTCTGTAGATGATGGCATGGAAATTTAATAGAAAATATTAAATGACATATGTACAAAGATTATCATTTATAGTTATTACTTTCAACAGATCATAATTTACCCTGCTCTGTAGATGATAGCATGGAAATTTAATAGAAAATATTAAATGACATATGTACAAAGATTATAATTTACAGTTATTACTTTTTACTTCAAATTTAAATAGAAATAGAAGCCATAAAATCCAGTCTCTTATGAATCTGACAGAAATTCATGAAAATAAATTTAACTGATGGAAGATCACACCCTTATAAAAAATAGGGCCAATTTACAGTTTCAATGCAGGGTTATGATATAACAGTGACGTTAATACTGTAAGCATCTACCCTTGAGCAAATGTACAAACTCAGGCATTCTCATGCTTTCAATGTGCATGGTTATAAGAGATATTTTCAAACAAAGCACAAACTCACAAAAGATATTCTAAACACTAAGTAGGAGACTATAACTCTCAATCCAGAGTAAGTAAAAATAAACATCTGTTCTATTTTATCCATCAAGATGGATGAAAAGTTTTAGTTGTTAAAAGCCTAGCTAAATCATGGAAACATCCCACTGGACATTCAATCTTCTTCCAGTTACTATTTCATGGGTAAATACTTTTCGATAACTTCACTCCTTCAGGACCCAACTGGCAATGCTACCTGAGGTCCAGTTGGCAGAGAATCCGTTCCCGTTGGTCCAGGGGTCTGATCTGAACTTTACCCTCAATTTGGTGCCAGTGGACTTGTGCTGGGCTGGAGCCTCATTGTGACAATAGCGTCCTAGTGACACCCAATTCCCACTGTCGGAGTAGTCAAGAACCTACAGGAAGGGTTAGTGGAAATGTGATTCACAACAAAGGCTCATGGTACCTCTTTGGAGTCTTCAAATGGACTCCCATTTACCCATTTTTATCATGTATTGTTTTGTAGAATTATGCTTTATAAAAGACAATATTTTGGCAAAACAAAATTAATATTATGTATTCTTGTTTTGCCAAAGGAATGATTTTGCTCAGATTTTTTTTTTTTTTTTTTTTTTTGGTACCACAAATTAGTACTAGATGAGCCTTATTTTAGTATTTCAAGCTTAGATATAAATGTATCACACAAGAGTGTATTCAAGCATGAGCTGGGCCTGAGCTACGGGTCATATGGCAGCTTCTTCACTTTCAAATCTCCATATGTGCAAGATTATTCGACAGCAAATTTGATTGCAATTTACATCACCAATCACAAATGTATATACTGTCATCTGTATTTCAACCAGTATTGAGATTTGAAAATGGAGAGGCTGGCCTGTCCCCAAGCTTCAAATCTCCATCAGTTAATATGTGGTGGTAAAACTTTTGAAATTGAAAAATATGCTGTTGAAAAATGAAGCGCATTCAGAAATTTATGCATGACAGACATGCTGTTCTCTAATCTGGTAGGACTACAATATTCAAAGTTCATCATTCAGGCAAGGTGATTAAGTACATGTGAAGCAGTCAAATGTAAAGATAAAAAATAATCAAAGAAGTGGATTTATCTCTTCCTTCATATCACTTGACTTGGCTCAAAGAAGCTTCAAATTTTGTTTCATTCTGGACATTTTTAGCAAACATAAGATTTTCAGTCAAAACAATGAAAGAATGCAAAACTAAAAACTACTTCATTTCTGTTTTTATACACAGCTCCCATGAACCAAGACTTTGAAGAAAGATCACACATCATGATGCTGTTAAAAGCTAAGAGAGGCATTCATTTCTGGACAAACATTAAGTAATGATCTAATACAGCAAAAACTAATTTTTCCTGGAAATTTCAGTCCTTTTTCATAAGGTATTTTTACTCAAAGTTTATTTGTTTTGGATAGCAAAGACCTTGGTGGTTGCTAAAATTTCCAAGATTTTTTTCTTTTAGCTAAGAGGAGTTCTAAGATGTTTTGTATGTCTTTAAGCAAGAAACAAATGCAGCACTAAAAATCATACTTTATAATTTAATCATGCAAATCAAGGTGACTCTTACCAGCTTCCCAAGAAGCAGAGAAACCATTGCCATTTACTGCTGAATTGGAATGAAATTTCACAAGCAGTCTATTGGATACTGATCGTATAGATGGAGGAATTTCATTGTGACAATAGCGAGTAATTGGTATCCATGAATCATTCTTGGCTATGTAATCAGATACCTTTGGTGCAGAAACAGAATTAATTAAATTAATAACATCTCAAATATATAAACATATATTTGATTACATGATTGATTCTACTTTGATGAGTATTATTGATGAGTATTATTCATTATAATTATTCTTTGATGGGTTTCTTAAAAATCACTATTTAATCAAAATATAAAATGAGAAAAGCAAAAACTGCAACTGCTCTATAAAATATTTTTAAAAATTCATGAAACTATAAAGTGAACTAATACTTAAATTCACTGCTTTGATATCAGAGTGTCAGTAGTTAATAATTTCAAATCTGTATCTACATTACATTGTACCTGAATCTTTTTTCAAAGATTACACATTTATATTGATACTGATTAAGTTTCATAAAGTATGAAGTCATACAAAGATTGGGGTCATGACCTTTGCCCTATGACCTTACCTCCACGTAGTCATAGATACAGTTCCCAGCATTCTCCAGGTCAAAGGGGGAGTTAAAGTCCAGGAGCACATGGTATCCTGGGTCAGTGTTGATCTCCCACATGCACTCCACATTATGTGGGTAGCGGTTAGGGTAGTTAGGACTGCTGATGTACCCTTTCTTACCATGCAGTGTGCCTCCACAACCTGATGGAATAAACATTTTAGAACATGATCTGGAGTAATATTATACCATTTCATTTAGGAGGACTAGTACAGAGTATAGTATATAGGATCACATCAGGCTTAACATCTTGGTCTTAAACAAGGGGGTTTAACAAGCAAAACCTGAAGAGAGCTATATTTTATTGTATGATAAATGGTTATAATTTATATATCAACTCAACATATTTAGTTCTGGCTATGGAGTTCATGAAAGTTAAGACCAAATCATGTGTTTTGTTTTATCATGAAATTTGGTGCTGATTTTGCTGTTAATCACAATGCATTATTGCATCATAATTGACAAAACAACCTATTTTGTACATCATGATTTGCTGCTTTTTATCTGTACATTTAACAGCTTTGCTGCCTTGTTCTTTTGTGAAATACTGTCCAGCATAATACTATCAATAACACCAGCTTACCTCCACCATCCATCCTGTATGTCAACCGGAATCCCGACGCAGACACACTGGAGTCTGCATGGAACTCTATACGAAGGCGGTTACTCTGTGAGCGGAATGATTCTGGAGGGGATGAGCCACAGAACTTGCCAATAGAGGGCGATGATGCAGTGCCGCCATTGAAGATCTCCAGGTAATCATACTGACACTTGTCATGATCTTCTATGTTCATATTAGTGACCTCAACCTTAAACAATACAATTAAAATAGACATTTTATGAAGTAATTTCACCATAGGATATTTTAAAACTCTTACCACTCAAAAATGTGACAGTAGTAAAAGCTTTAGAATCAATTGCATTCTCTCCATACCAGGCTTCCCATACACTAGAGCATTAAAATGTAGGAAATAGAAGAGTTTATGACTCAAATATTATGAGAATACAAGAATTCTGAGACAAAATTAGAGCAAATATCTAGTTTTTCTATATAAAAACCCAATGTGCATTGACTTTGAGATGATAGTCCTACTCACAATAATCTGATAATTATCTGGGGCCAGGATCTCCCAGCCACACTGGTCAAAGTGGTCGTAGTTATTGGGATAGTTTGGACTAGTGATGACCCCCTGCTGTGACAGCAGTACTCCACCACAACCTATATAATATAATATAATATAATATAATATAATATAATATAATATAATATAATAAAAAAACCAATACAATATAAATCAAAACAATACAATTCTATTTTTAAGTGAGACAAATGAAAAGATTTCTAAACAAAACAATAACTTACGCGTGAAGTTATAGTCCAAGGAGAACCCTGCGTCCACTATGGAATGGTCAGTACGGAACATGACCCACAGATACGGACTGGGAGTGACCATTCGTGGGGGAATTGTGGTGTTGCCACAGTAACGACCAAGCAAGGTACCTGTTTGATCAGTGCCTGCGAAAAAGGAAGAGTACATATGATTTGTAACATCAGATAGGTCAGAAAAGACTTCAAAGCTACCAAAATATAAATACAAGCCTATTTCCATTGTATGTAAGATACTGAGAGACAGTTTTTTTAATTTTAAAATAACTCTTCTGAACCTCTTTTTGTTTAAGTAAAAGCAAACAAGGGAAAAAATGAATTCTTCTGATATTAAGTCATATCAGAAATTGTCTTTCATTATCCTGTTACTGTATAATTTTTGGGGGAATGGGGGCGGGAGTAAAATACATGGAAACATTTTCATAAACATCAGCAACAGCTTGTCAATTCCACGGCATCTAATAATAATGCAGGCTATAGTAGAAAGGAGGAAGAGGCAGGTAGAGATGGGATGTCAACATTCTGGAGGGGGCAGGCAGGAAGTGGTGTGAAGACATGAGGATGGTAGAAAGGAGAAATCGAGAAATGAAAGAAGGCTGCCAGCTGTAGGTCATAAGTGCAACCAAAAGGTCCAAAACTGCTCATACCTTCTCTGATTTCCAGATAGTCATAGTTGCAGCTGCCATGTTCCTCCAACGCAAATGCAGTAAATCGCAAACCAATGGAGGAGTTGTAGCCACCATTGGTGTTGGTCAGGACCCAGACGCACTGCTCGTCGTTGGAATAGTTGCCATTCTGGAAACCAGGGGACATCAGGGTGCCACTGGCGCCATTTGCATTGGTGATGGCGCCACCACATTCTGTAATAAGAACATCAAATTTTAATGACTTATTTCTATCTTTTCACGTTACAAATTTACATGCACACCTTCTGAAAACTACTATCTGATTTATAACATTTCATTTAAAGTCTTTATTTCAGACTGGTTTATTGACATATGCTAATATCTTTCTGCAATTCACCAGTTATTACCTGAATTTAGAATAAACATCTGAAATGGCTTATTAATAACAAAATTGATCCCACATCCCATAATCACATATGAGAAAACTACTAAAATTATCCACATACTGATAGGCTCCTGTGACGTATACTGTGCCCTAAATCCTCCATTGGTGACGGAACCATCAGTGACAAACTCTACTTTCATGGTGTTTCCAGAGGACTTCATGATTCCTGGGTTGGTGGTGCCGCAGAAATACCCCAGACTGGGTGACTCACGCATGATGCCATTGTAAACCTGGCGAGAAAAAAAGACAATGAGAATCATTCCTTGAGTGAGAGAATTTTAAAACTTCAGCAGAAATATTCCGTAACTGGTCTAACTGGTCCTATGGCTATAAAACAAGTGAAACATCTGTAACAATATGTAAGGGGAATGTCCCAAGATTATCTATCATATACTTTTTCATTTCATACCACTTACCTGAATATAGTCACAGCGACACCTAGAGTGCTCCTCGATATTAACAATTACATGTATGTAGTCATAGCGACACCTAGAGTGATCCTAAATATTGACACTTACCTGAATATAGTCATATCGACACCTAGAGTGGGCCTCAATGTTGACGTCAGTGAACTCCAGGGACACTCTACGTCCAGGTGCGACTGTGATCAGCCAGGTACAGGTCCTGGAGTGAGGGTAGGAGCCGGGGTAGTTAGGACTGGTGATGACCCCAGTGGGGGTGTTTAATTCTCCACCACAACCTGGAATACAGGTGGATATGAAGTGGGCATGAAGTGGACAAAGAATGTGTATATGAGTGATGAGAGCACATACTTTGGAAGCTAGGCTGATGATGTGAGTAATCAAGTATATGATTTTTTTCCTTTTTGACTTCAATTTTAAGTAATATTTTAGTAAAAACCTCACTTTAACAATTATTTGTTATAAATTGAAGCTCTTGTCATACATAAATTGATGAGAATAATTGTTTATAATTGTGCACATGTAAACACTCAATAGTTTACGATCTATCACCAACATATGTTAATTCAAAATATCTTTTCAGATCCAGCATGATAAAAATTCCAGCCTAAAGGACTCCTCTTTCATCTGTATCACACACAGTTAAAACAGACGCCTTACCTTCAACGCTGGCCTCAAAGTTGACCTTGAACCCTTGAGCTGTCGTGGCGCGGTCAGTTTTAAACTGCAAGTAGGCAAAACTGTCAGATGTCCTCACAGGAGCAGGGAGAGAAGTGCCGCACAGGAACCCTAAGATTGGACCTAGGGGAGGAGAAACAGTATCAGTTAATTTATCTAGGCTAAAAGAAACCTAACTCATTAGAAAAGTATTTAATGTACATGAATCTCATAATCATAATTACAATTGCATTTTATTTTACACCTGAAAATCAAATTTTAAAATTGTTCTTTTATACTGCTTTAAAGAACTATTTACAGAGCATATGTGAACATGTAACCAAAATTGTGTATTCTTATTTTTTCATTTTCCATTTCATCCCACCTGTTCTGTTCAGGTCTCTGATCTGCAGGTAATCATTGTTGACACAGTTATCACTCTGCTGCAGATTGAACGCCTCAAAGGTGAAGGTCAGGTAGTGTCCAGTAGGGCCGTTAACGAACCACTCACAGTTGGCATCATTACTGTAGGGGTCGGGATAGTTAGGGCTCATGATACTGCCAGAGTCTGCGTTAATAGTGCCTCCACATGTGGCTGGGATAAAAAATACAATTACTAGTATACTGAATTTGTTATCATATTTGTGACTGGTGGAAATAAGTATCAAATGGGTAATAAATTGTAACAAAAATTTTTGACATAATTCAATTCAACTTAAAACAAAGTGGCATTAAATGACAAAGAAATGTGCCTCATTTTTTAAATATTTGGATGCCCAAATTAAATGATTCCAAAATACAAATTCTAGTTAAAGCTGATCAACAGGTCTGTAACCAACAATTTCAAAGAGGGGTCTTTTTGTGAAAAGATGGACATTTTCACCCTAATAATTGACCCAATTTAAGAAATGGTACAGATTCTAGATCAAATTTTGGTTCAGAGCTGACTCTTTTTGGATAGAAGGGTGGATTTCACAAACGTATATATCTATTAACCACAGACTCACATATCTGGTAGCGTGCCTTGAACCCAGTCCTGGGAACGCTGTCGTCTGTTCTGAAGCGGACATACATAATGTTTCCAGTGGAACGTACAGTGCTGGGACGGGTTCTGCCACAGAAAGTGCCAAGTTCTGGTCCGTTCTCTGTGCCTCCATCTCTCACACGCACATAGTCATACTGGCATCTGATAGGATAAGAATGTTAAAGAATTCAAATAAAGGGAATTTAAAAGTCAAGTATATCTCGATTTTTCTAGTCTTTTACCTAGCTACACTGCTGAGATAGGCAACTTTACTAAGTGATAACCAAAATAATAATATTCATTAGTTTGAAATATGAAAATGGCTTCAAACCAATGTCATGGGGCTACAAAAAATTTGAAATTACACAGCCCACCACCACTTACTGAGAATGCTGCTCGATGTTAAACTCATCGACAAAGTCCAGCTGAACTTGGTCCGTCGATGGCGCTGTGATCACCCAGATACAGTCCACATTGTGAGGGTAAGGCTGCGGGTAGTTNTTACTCCTGTGAGTTTCATGACAACAGGTCTATCGGTTTTCCTTGAAATGTGTTAACAGTGTTGCACATATGCTGAAAAGTGAAAAAACAGCATAACTACTAAAATAGTGGCCCGATCATGCCGATTTTCGAACTTGATCTGCATTTTAGTAAGATTGATAACTCCTGTGAGTTTCATGACAACAGGCCTATCGGTTTTCCTTGAAATGTGTTAACAGTGTTGCATATATGCTAAAAAGTGAAAAAACAGGATAAATTCTACAATAATGGCCCGATCATGCTGATTTTCGAACTTGACCTACATTTTATGAATATTAGTCAGCTCTGTAAATATAAAGCCAAAAAGTAAAACTGTCTTCCACTTATGGTGTTAACGCTGAAAGTGCACGGCGACGGCGACATGATCGGCGACGGCGACGGCAACGACAGACGCAGGTGATGGCAATATGTACAGACACATCTGTGTCTGTACATAAAAATAAAGCGACAAAGGTGTCAAATAAACAGACATAAAATACATAAGGGCTGTAACAACAGTAGCATTAAAACACCTGAAGAAAAGATTTTTTAGCTGCCACTGTTTAGGTGGGCTAACCTAGGCCCATCATAATTAAAATATAATTTTTATTAGTCAAAAAGCTGAACATTTCTACACAAAATTTTTCTAATTGTGAAATTCCATATGAGAAATGTGTTCAGTTATAATGATTATTATTCAACATTTTATTCAACATTTCATATTTGGCTAAAATTTCATATTCTAGCATGGATCTGACTACACCTCACCATAAGGCCATCCCCACTGCAGGAGGACGTAGACTGGATATTAAAGGTGTCAAACTCCACACTAATGGTCCTTCCATTGGTCACTCTGATCACCCAGGTACAGTTGGCGTTATTGGGGTAGTTGTTAGGGTAGGATGGACTTTGGATGACCCCTGTGGGTCCATCAAGTACACCACCACATGCTAGAAATAGTTAAAATCACAACAACTTCAGACCTTTATTAAGCACAAAAAAAACTCCAGTATTTGAACTGGTAACTCCTTAATAATAATCATCAATGCTCAGTTGAATCTTAAAAATGAGTTCATGCATCTTTGCAAAGAATACTATTCATTATCTGATTCCAAAACGCTGCCAAATAGAAAATAGTTAATTTTTTCAAGCTTTTCATAAGAAATAGTTTAAATTATTTGCAACTCTGAGAAATTTATCAATCCACTCTGATTTTCCCCTTCATTTAATTACCAGAACATAAAATCTGCTTTAAACGAATATCACCTACTTGTCTTATAACTGGCGGCAAAGCCAATCCTGGTAACAGAGGAGTCAGTTGTAAACTTGGCAGTCATGACATTGGAGGTAGCTATGACAGGTTCAGTATTTGGTTGGCGGCCGCAGAATGTGCCAAGGACTCGACCAAATGCAGCATCATCTGGATAGAAAGAGAGCAAGAAGTTTGTAGAATTATGTCAAAATCTACACCTTCAAAGGCAGCAATATGATAACTGTAAATATAACCAAAACTGTAAGTATCTCTGAGACATAGAAAATACCATACATTACATCTTACTTATGTGTAGTGAGGTTGTAGGATAAAAAAGTTTATTGTGGCACACTTCTGCACTTCGACGAGAATAGTTTGACAATCGACGAGAATAGTTACACGATCGACGAAAATAGTGACAGCATTGGTTTTAATACACCGTAGATGAGAAATGTTTGACAATTGAATTGACGAAAGTAGATGTTGAATTTATGACAGGATCGTTTAAACTTGAAACTGAATCGATGGGAAGGCAATGAATCGACGAAACATAACTGAATCGACGACATGAATTTTTGCCCTTTTGGCCGCCCATACTACTGCACACTATACAGTGTGCCGCACACATGCTGCACACTTTCTATCACTAAGGGTTCTTTTTATACACTGTCACTTCTATCACTATCAGGTCTTCTTATACAATATCAATACATGCCCGACTTACTGTCATAGAGCACCAGTTTGTCATAGTTGCAGGCAGAGTGTGCCTCCAGGTTAATAAAGGTGATGTTAAACCATATCTTATATCCTGGAGTGGAGCGTATAGTCCAGACACAGTTTAATCTATTAACATAACCACTGGGATATCCTGGAGAGACCACAGTGTTGGCCACTTCACTGGCACTCAGTTCACCTCCACAACCAGGCACTGAAAGCAAAATCCATCTTGTGTACTACTATAAATTATTTCTATTGATGAAATTTAGATATGCAGTTACTGTATTATATGTCATCATGAGCAGAAAGGTCACAATTATCATGTTTCTTGCAATGGTAATCTGGCTTAGTGTGTGCTTGTGCATGTGTGTGCATGCATTTGTGTGCAAATTAACTCAATCAAGCACATCTGGAAATGCCAATATTCAAGTTACACCCAGACAGACATATCTGGAAATGCCAATATTCAAGTTACACCCAGACAGTCACCTGGTGTTGTGGCTTGTGTTGGTGATGGGGTGGTGATCACAGTAGACACTGCCTGCCAGTTAAACAGGAACCCCTGTCCAGTGCTGCTGGCGTCAGACTTGAACGCCACATACAGCTGGTTCCCTGTCGACGTAAACGGTGATGGTGCCGTGGTGCCACAGTATTTGCCAATTTGTGGTGCATCTGCAGCTCCTCCGTCCCGAAACTGAAAGGTTTTCAAGTTTTAATGTTTTAACATATGTTATATATTGTCTAACTGGACACAGGTACCAACACTTAGCATTTAATATGTACTGCATTTATTATTTAGAGGAGAAACACATCAATATTCTACAGTTTATAAGATGTGAGCCATAACATCTATGTATTTTGAGTACTAGACGGCATGCTAGCAACTCTGACTTGATACAACATGGCATTACAATGTAGCAAAATACACAGACACATAGAAATTAATACAAAAAGTGAAAAAGACCAATTTTTCTTGAAAACCCTACTTGAACATAATCAAAGTAGCAGGTTCCGCTGGTCTCCAGGTCCAGGACATCAAATGCCACCCTGACCACTTGACCCAAGGGGACAGTAATCACCCAGGCCGCCTCTGTATTGTGTGGGTACGGGCTGGGGTACATAGGGGACGCCACCTGACCCGAAGTACCTGAGATCTGGCCTCCATATACTGAAAATATTCAATTATTTATTACCTTTTTTCTTTGTCATAATCAGTTGCAGCATTAGAAAGAGCATAGAAAGCCTGAATGTTTACATGTAATATTATAAGCTGAATAAATCAGAATTATGAATATAGTTTATAGGCAACACTAAGAGAAAGTACATCACTGTTTTGTTTAATCTTTGTCTGAGAATCAAAAATAATTCAGATCTCTTACAACTCTCAACTAGCAAATAGTTAATTTAGTGTATGCCACCAAGAACCAAAACCCAGTTTTAAAATTCTTGAAAATTTTTGAAGATTTTTTGAAATACAAACTATCATGTCATAGATTCACAAAATTAAAAGACCTGCAATGACATGTCAGAAATACCTGTGGTGTATTCAGCCATGAAGCCCTGACCATTGTTGGCCTGATTGGAGCGGAACTTGATCCAGAGGCTGTTACTGGCCGTCAGGTTAGACGGTGTATTGGTGCCACAGTAACGCCCAACCAGATCACCGCTGACGCCTCCATCACGGATCTCCACATAGTCATAATTACACAGGTAGTGGTTCTCAAGGTTAAACATGCTGGAATCATTCATGAATAACAAGTTTTAATATAAACATGTGGAGAATGCAACAAAAATTACACCAACAAGTAAATAAAGCGAAAATGCATAAATAAAGAGGAAGATAAATAAGACAATCACATATAATACAAATTGAACTTATGAAAATTAACTGAGTACATATATACATTATACAAAAATATACAATCATTCAATTTGGTTTCATTGTGAGATGATACAGTCACCCAAGTGACCGAGATATACATTATTATATTATTCTAAATCTAACCTGAAAGCCAGTTGTATTCTGTTCCCAGGGGAGGCAGTGATAGTCCAGATACACTCAGTCTCCCTTGGGTAGTTATCTGGATAGCCAGGACTGTTGAATGCTCCCTGCTGGGATGTCAGATCTCCACCACAGACTGGAAGAAAATGGCACACAATTTAGTATATAATACAAATCCTAGCTCTCTTCATTTCCATTTTTCATCTTGCACCTGGACAGCCTCATTCCCTGATGAACATGCTTTGACAGGCATTGAAATTTTGGAGGTGAACAATTTCAATAATTGGCTGTTGATTGAAGAAAAATTTACTTTATTCTAATAACCTAAGACAGCTTATGAAAGTCTTCTCTGACCAAACCCTCCCTACTTTCACGGAGCACAATGATGAACATGACATGTGCCTGAGGCCCTTTGATTGTTTTTTTTATAAGATATAAATGATAACAAAGAGAATTTTACCTAGACATGCAATATTCACAAGAAGTGGATTAGACAAAAATATATAACCTAATAGGAAGAGAATTTTATTTAGATTTAAACATCCACAAGAAGAGAATTTGACCGAGATAAAAATACTCACAGGAGGACGATTTGCTGTATATTGCCCTGAACCCAGATTGACCAACTGATTGGTCACTGACAAACTGCACATAGAGGGCACCACTGAATGACGTAATGGCAGGTGGAATGCGTGTGCCGCAATACGTTCCAAGGACTGGAGCATTAGCGTTGTTGCCATCGGCAACCATGACGTAGTCAGCACTGCAGTTAGCGTAGTCCTCTAGGTCCATGTGAGTGAAGATCAGGGTCACCCTGGCCGCTGGAAGGAACATGACCAAATTATTATCATTTCATTTTCTTTTTTACTTTAAAAATCCTGCATTATTTTAAAACAATCATTGTACTTACACAAAAAAATATGTTTCATTGTCTTTAATGTCACCAAAATAAACATTTTAATTGTTTGTCCAAAGAGGCATCAGCCCTAAATGGTGGAAAATAGTTGGCATTGAATTAAGCAAAAAACTGTTACACTTAATCATAGACCATTCACTACAACATTTAATAGGAAACTTTTCCACTCATTTGTTTCCTTATCATCCTTTGCAATCATAGAGCCAGAAACACTCCAATGTATACATGCAGTGAAGGCATGCAGTGCACAACTACAGCCACCTGGCCCTGAATGAGAATGACACTTACTTGGTTGATCTGTGGTTATAATCCAGGAACAGTTACTGTTGTGGTCGTAGGCATTCGGGTAGTTGGGGGAAGTTATGGCGCCGTCCGTCTCTGCACTCAACATTCCACCACAGCCTGGAATTGTGGGTAGATATTTTGATGTTATATGTGACTAAGGCTCTGTTCTCACAACTTTTAGATCGATCTATCACCGCGGGGAGTCTCACTAGATTACTGTCAGATAATCCACCTTAAGTGTCCGTCCCCGCCTACTACAAGCTTTAAGGGGTAATTAACTTTCGTGTCCGCTATTTAGCGTGAACCCCCAGGGAGTTAGGTCGATCCAATGTAGGTCGATCTAATCTATGAGAATGGGGTGTTAGACTGTGACTCTTGTTTTGTGAAAGGGAAATTAAGATCTCAGTGTTAATTGCTCTCACCACGTTTTATATATCTTTATGTGACCCTGATATAGATAATTATCTTGGAAATAGTGGGGACTTCAAAATCTAGCCAGAAAAATACCTTAATTCAAACTTTCTGCCACACCTGCTCTCTACCTGTCTTACCTGTCACATAAGTGGCCTTGAATCCCTTAGCTGTAATGGAGCCGTCGGACTTCATCCTGACAGTCATCTGGTTACTGGAGCTCCTGTAGGTGACAGGGCTAGGCAGGGCATTGCCACAGTGGATCATGATTTGCGGGGAGTTCACATCTGGGCCATCATAGAGCTGGGAATAACAGATGGTTTTTATAATTTAAGGAGAAGGAACAGGAGATATCTAAATTGCTCAAAAATTTGATATCTGAGCCATCTTAACAGAAATTCTTAAGTCAATGAAATCAATTAAAATCTAGTGGACTCAACATTTGTTGCGTTCAACCAGCTGAAAATAAGAGATGGTTTTTATACTTAAAAGAAGGAAGAGGAGATACCTTACTCACTTGTAATGATTGGTATCAGAGCCGTCATAAAAATAAGTTTTTAATTAAAGAAATCAACTAAAACTGTATCAAAAATGATAAATATACTCACGGCTACATAATCATAGGAGCAGTTGGAGTGTGTCTCCACGTCAAAATCTTCAAAGGTCAGCTGCACCACTCTGTTGGGTTGTACAGTGATCTTATACAGACAGTCTGTGGTACTGGGGTAGTTGTTGGGGTAGTTAGTTGACATGATGGTGGCTGTCGGGGTGGTGTAGTTACCTCCACAGCCTGAAATCATTTAGGGAAAACAAAAATATATATAAAAGGATGGAATGAAAGTATGCTAAAAGAGAAGGATCTATCCTGAATTTCTCCAGGTCACTGACAGTTTCACACAAACCCACCAACTTTCTAAATCATCTTGATATCAGTTAGGAAAAAGGAAAATCATACATGTGTGTACACATGGCATGCTTGTTTTGTGGATGGTTTTTACCCTCACTGGAAACTGTAGTCCATTTACACTTACTGGGGGCTAAACATTCTGTATACCTTGTAGACCAATATCACTATGTCAAAGATATGAAATCAGCTATCCGAGTTAAGCAATCTAAGCAATTAGCCTAAGAACTTTACGATTTTTTAGGAAGTCTGAAAGAACAGCCCACCATCTCACCTCCATCTTTAGACTGGTACGTGGCAGTAAATCCACGTCCGTTCACGGAGACGTCACTTTTAAACCTGATGAACATCTTGTTGCCTGTACTCTGCACCACCTGGGGGTCAGTCTGGGTGTGGCACAGCTGGGTCAGTCTAGGTGCTGTGTCATCTACACCTCCAAATACCTGGATGACACAGAAAATGTCAGGTAAACTGATAATATTATCAGAAACAGGGATGTGCCTGCTATTTAGTGAAATGGTTGGAAAATATGGTCTGAGGTCCAGGGGGCTGTCTAGGACAATGATATTTTTGCCTCCCAAAAGGTCAATAGTTAGAAAAATCTCATCTCCACAGACCTTGTCCAGTAGGAAACAATAAAACAGCTACATGTCTTTTACCATATAAATGCTTTCAAATACCTAAATTACCTACAAAAATCAACCGGTATGATCAAATTGCAACAAAATAATGCTTTTTTTTATAAAAAATGTATAAGGTCCTTCAAAGATAAACTTAAGGAAAAAATTCTAAATATAATATTGATTTTGAATACATGTAAAATGCTTAAAGAAATGAGCAAAAAAGTTCATTAGCTTGATAGTTGGCTCATATATGATAATTTTAAAACACAAACTTTTCATACATTTTCATACTGTTAGCTTACGACCAAGCTATTGATATGAAAATATTTAAGTTTAAAGAACTTTTGATAAAACAACCCATTCCTCACCTCCAGTACATCATAATTACAGCTGGAATGAGATTCCAGGTCAAAGTCACTGATGGTCAGTTCCACAGACTTCCCTGTTGGCACGGTGATGGTCCATATACAGACCTGGCGGTGGGGGTAGGGGTTGGGATAGCCAGGACTGCTGAAACTACCCGTGTCACCACTCAGGTCATCTCCACAGCCTGGAATGCAGAAATAGTGAGTGTTTATTGTGCACGCACACACACACACACACTCTCTTGTTGAAATTGATCAAAATGAACTTAATCATCCCATCTTCCCTTAATAGATACAATTTAACTGAACTTAACACAGAGTATATCAATACATGAGAGAGAGAGAGAGAGAGAGAGAGAGAGAGAGAGTGAGTGAGTGAGTTTTACAATAAAATATAGGGCCAAGGCAGACGCAGGCTGTCACTCACCATTCATCACCCACTCCAGTCTGAACCCGTTGCTGGCCACACTGGCGTCCGACTTAAACTTGACCCACAAGTACTGCCCACTAGATGCCATGGCAGGGGGCAGCACATTCTGGCCACAGAATTTACCCAAGGAGTTCGCATTCTCGTCTTGACCATCTCTGATCTAAGGTTTCCAAGAAATATTTATTAACAATATCATCTTTTATCTGATGTGTCCAGGATTTTTTTATTTACAATATCTTCTCTTAAAGGATGCTGATCAACTTTCACAATGGACATTTGTTTGTTTGTTTTAAAATGTCACCACAGAATTTTTCTTTGTGAAAATTGTTCACCTTATCAAAATACCATGATTTAAAGCGAATGTTGTCTTGTTACTGCAAAAAAATGGAACTATTCCATTGCATTATTAAAAAAAAAAATGAAACATGACATAACAAACATTTTGCATGAAAAACCATTCTTCCATTCAAAAATAATACCCTTAACATACACAATATAAACATCAGACTTCTATTTGACAATAACAGACAATAATACCATACCTCTACATAATCATAGTTACAGGTGCCATGTGCCTCTATATCCAGGTGAGAGAAAGAGATATTCACAGTATTCCCCAGGGTGGCCTCTATCACCCACGTGCACTCCCTAGCATGGGGGTACGGCTGGGGGAAGTTTGGACTTTCTATAGCACCCCGCCTGGCTGTGAGTCTTGTGTTACATACTGAAAATATGATGATTTGCTACTGTGACACACAAAATATAATGGGATATTTGTATATATGGATTCTCTACATCACTATATTTGTCAGTAAGCTTTGTGTTACATACTGAAAATATGATGAAATGTAAATATGACATACAAATATGTTAGGATATTTCTGTATTTGGCTTTTCTATATCACCATATATGTGACTGAGCTTTATGTTACATGCTGAAAATATATTCTTTGATGAGAAACAAATATGCTATAAATCCCATACATCTATCAGAGGTACACTCTCTGATGATGCAGAAGTCCAATGAAAATTATTTGTACTCTATACGGTGTCATAATATTATTCTGCATATACACTACTAAAAATCCTTAACACTTAAAAGCAAAGTAATTGTCCAACACTTAAAAGCAAGGTAACTGTTTGCAGTCTAACAACTCACAGGCATTGTAGCCAGCTAAGAAACCTCTGCCACTGTTGGAGTAGTCTGTCCTCATCTTAATCCACATCTGATTGGTCCTAGAACTGACCCCCTGCGGAGTCTGCCCGCCACAGTATCTGGCAAGTCTGGCGCCACTGGCATCTGACTCTCTTATCTGGAAATTTAGGCATAAAAAGTTATGCTTTCTTTTCAACAAACTCAGTGGAAACCGTATGATTAACCATTTTCAATATCAATTTACGAAAATTTCATTAGACTTACTTATATTGATGAATGTTCCGTTTTTTCATAAGCAGGGGCGGATTCAGAGATATTTTCTGACAGGCTTCCGAATTATCTTTACTTATCCATCCTCCACTTTTGACCGTCTTCCAACAGAAAAATAAGATACCCGTCAATGTAAACTTGAAAATCTGACAGTCTTCCTTCCGGAAGATGGCCTTAATCTGCCCCTGATAAGCGCATATGTCAAACAACCACCACCTACCTCCACATAGTCATAAGCACAGCTGGTGTGAGCCTCAATATCAAAGTCCAAGAACATGAGCTGTATGGTGCTGCCCTCTGCCACCTGTATGATCCAGTAGCACTCTGCGTTGTGTCCGTAAGCTGCAGGGTAGTTAGGGGATGTCAGACTGCCACTAGGTGTCGTTAGTATACCACCACAGCCTAGCACGGTGAATTAAAATAACAGTCAAAAGAAGAAGAATTAAAAGATAAAAATGATCATGCAATAATGCCACATTCAGCTACCACTGCAAGTAAACATCAAGGATGATTTAACTTGTCAATTTGAAATGTGCAGGAATATTCCTGAAATTTGCATCAATTTATAATTCAAAATGTTAAATTTGTACTGATGATACTTTATCAGACACAACACTGCACTAAGGGAGCATGCTACCACAGGTAACTCAACAACTAAAAATTTCATCAAGAATAATTTTCTTTTTGTCAAAATAATGCAGCTGTTTTGGATTTCTTTACCTGTGCTAGAACCATCATAGAAAATCCTGAACCCAGGAGCAGTCTGAGAGACATCAGATTTGAACTTGAGGTACATTCTGTTGCTATGGGAACGTATAGGGTTATCTATGGTAGTACCACAGTATGTGCCGATGAGAGGTGATGTCACGTAGCCGCCATTTCTGAAATAATTATCAAATATTTGTAAGTGGTCACAGATGGATAAAACCTTTCCACCCACTCTCCCAACTCTCTCTCTCTCTCTCTCTCTTTCACACACACACACACACACACAAAGAAAACACACACACACACACACACACACACACACACATACATACTTGTCTATGTNCCTCGGTTGGAGGTGTGTCCTCGGTTAGTGGGTTTCGGGCGGGTGTGTGTCCTCGGTTAGAATGCGTGCACAAGAGCACACACACACAAAGAAAAAAAACACACACACACACATACACACACACAAAAACAAATACACACACAAAAACAAACACACACACACACACAAAAAAAAACACACACACAAAAACACACACACACACACACACACACACACACAAACTGCTTCCTTCCCTGAGCCTTTCCTGAACCAATCCTGGTATTCCAAATGGACATCATCAGATAGCAGAAAAGCAACTAGAAACGGCAGGAAAACCAATCTTTAAAAAAACAAAAAATGAAGAATAAAATAAGAGATCTGTTTAAAAAAATTCCCTTGCCCACCTGATTTCTAGGTAGTCATAGTCACAGTTGGCATGTTGCTCCAGCTGGAAGTCAGTAATATTGAGCTGTATCTGGTGGTCCTGGGGTACACTGATGGTCCATTCACAAGTCTTCTGATGGGGGTAACCACCTGGCCACCCTGGACTAGTGATCACACCCACCAGGTCTGTTAACTCATAGTGACATGCTGGAAACACAAGGGTCAACAATATCAGGACAGCGGCCCATAAAATATGGAGGATGCCAGTAGCATGGCTGTATTGTGTAGGCAATGAACAGCCTAGCTGATGAACCAAATTAAGACCATATGGTAATTACTCGGATCTTCTCAATGGGCAAAAATTATCAAACTTTTAAACACAAATTTATAGTCACAAAAATTATATTTTTGTGTGGCATTGGTGGTGTTTATCCATGGCGGTACCACAATTTACTGCGTATAATAGAACCAGAGAGTAGCCCACTTTTTAACTTTTTGTTGCTACCACTCAACAGTAATGTTCTACTTTAAAGAATTTATGTCTTAAAAATACAATGTCTAAAAAAAATTTCAATATTCCCCTCTGAAAAGACAGAGTAATTACTGTATTGCTTATTTACTGTGTACATTTTCATCAGCTTCACAAGGTGCAAATGTCACCAAACAAAATATATCAGTTACTTACACACACTGCCATTGAGTGCCACATAACTGGCAGCAAAACCTTCGTGTGACACACTAGAGTCAGTTACCAAGACAACAGTGAGGCTGTTCTCTCTGGACTGCCTGGCGGGAGGCATGGTGGAGCCACAGTACCTGGAATTGTGGGTAAAAAATTATGACACAGCTAGCAAATAACCACAACAGTGTGCATCTTTACCTCTGTCAAGAAGGTTCAATTTTTACTTCAGTGTGTTTATTCATCATCAACCTAACTCAAACAGCTATGGATGGATGTTGATAAAAATTTTAGGATAGATCAGAAATGCTTAAAATTCAGAAGTAACTTAAAAGGAAAAATAAAATTTTGGTGATGACTTATTAAAAATTTAATGGTTAATAGTTAGTCAATTATTTGTTTTGATGGAGGTCTGCACTTGCGTTTTAATAGATTTTAAAATTTATTTAAGTTTAGAAGATATGTGTTATATCTTGATAATCCACAAAACATACCTTCCTAATGAATTTCCAATGGGGGACGTCTCATTTCCACTGTCAAAAAGTTCAACATAGTCATAGCGGCAGTTAGCATCAGCCTCCATGCTAAAAGTCAGGAAGGTCAGCCGGACAATATATCCGGGGTCGACGGTGATTGTCCAGGTGCAGTTGACCCCGTGGGGGTAGACATTGGGGTGACCAGGGCTGTGGAATGACCCCGCCTGACCGGTCAGACTACCGCCACAATCTACACAAAAAACAGAGATATAATCTGACCATTTATCACTGAAGTAATGGAATGCAAAGAAAGGTAAAACACAATATGGAGAGTTTTCCTGATAATTAACTTAAAACTGGCAAGACATATGGAATGTTCTTGACTTAATGGCCTTCTGTCTCCTCAGCAACGTTTTTTTGGAAAATATTCTTTATACAACAGAATTACAAATCGAAAACAAACTTCACTTGACAATTGCTAGTTGAAAAATCTTTCCTCTGAAAATTCTCAATCAGATAGTTTTTCATTATTTCATTTCCCACTTTCCTTACCTGTCCCTGTGTCAGTGGTTTCATATGTGGCCAGGAAGCCATGGTTTTGTACAGAGCCATCGGACTTGAATTTTAACCACATATTATTGGCACTAGATGTCACTGGTGCTGGCACAGCATTGCCACAGTAGCGTCCAATAAGGTTGGCTTCTGGGCCACTACCATCTCGTACCTGGAGAATTTAAATATGAAATCATGTCATGACTGATAGTTTATTACATTAAAAGTGGGATTAAGTTTTTTACACTAGGCCAAATGACCATTAAAAATACTTCTTACACTGTTGTATTCATCTAATATAAATTAAAGAAGAAAAACAAGATCCTCACCTCCAAGTAATCATAATTACAGTTATCATTGTTCCCTGCCTCAATATCAAAGTTCTGGAATGTGAGAGTAATTCTGGTCCCTCTGGGCTGTGCTATGATGTAGATACACTCCTTCTCATTGGGATAGTTACCAGGGAAGTACGGGGAATGGAGGCTGCCTGTGGGGGTGGTGAACCTGCCGCCACATGCTGGAATACAGAATAATGTCATTAGCTAGATCTGTTTAATCTCGAGAAGAATCCAGTGAACACAGATCTCCACCTACCCAGCATTATTATTATTATTATTATTATTATTATTATTATTATTATTAATCAAATAAAGGATCACCACAACCTTATTGCTTTCAAGTTAGCTCAATTCTAACCAAATCAAAATCTGTCCAATTTTGAGTCAGGCTGATAACTAAGAGAGTAACGTCTAAGCAAAAACTTCGTTGGTGGTCAAGACGCTCATTTTCAAAATTGTCAATCAGTTCAATAATTCCAGATTTTGAAACATGGCTCTTAAAATTTGTTTGCATAAAAATTGATGTTTGGATTGATTTTTTAAAATTTTGTAATCAAATGCACTACTGTCAAGGCAATACAATATAATCCAATACAATATATTATATTAAAGAAAAAATAAATTTATGCAATATAAGAATAAAAAATGTGCATTTTCTTACCCACATTCCAGGTGGCTCTGAACCCTGACCCTCTGTTGGACACGTCAGACTTGAACTTCACCCAGAGTCTGTTGATACTGGAAACGAATGTGGCTGGGAGCTGGGTGCCACAGTAACGACCTACAAGGTCTGCGTATTCATTGCCTCCGTCCCTCACCTGCAAATAAACAGTTTGATTTTCCCCATTTATTAAAATAAAAACAATGACACTGATCATATGGAGTGCATTTTAAACTGCAAACAGTTGTTGTTGTTCACTTCTGTCACTGGACAACTGACCAATCAGACTTAAAGGGTGAATGTCAAAAAATGGTCAACAAAATATTCATCACCAACATGTTTTTAATCAGTATTTGAAGCACACTGTTAAGAACTTATATAATCTTTTAATTAATATCAAGCAAATAATACAGAAATTGATTTCTGACAATGAATATCTCGCACAAATCATCACTAATACAAGCTATACTATATTGGTAAGTATCCACACATGTCGTCTATTCATCACAAGAAAATATTAAAATACATTCTGACAGAAAAAATTAGATGCCCATCAGTATAAACTTGAAAAATTCTGTTCCTCTTCCAGAAGACCCAGACGAGGGCAAAGTACATGCACATTTTATCAATTCATCAAAATGAATTACTTAAAATATTTACAACCCAGTGATATCTCACCTCCACATAGTCAAACTGACAGTTGGAGTGGGCCTCCAGGTCCATGTTGGTAAAGGTCAGTGTGATGACCTCTGTGACTGGCACAGTGACCGTCCATATACACTGGTCATTGTGGTTGTAAGGGTTGGGGTAGTTGGGAGAGATGATGACGCCATTGCCGGAGGTGTAGTCTCCACCACAGGTGACTGGACCTGAAGGATTCATCAGAGATGAAAAATAGGAAAATTATTTTTTTTATGAGCCTGAGAAAGTGAGACACTGGGAAAGAGGATTAAAGTTATTAACAAAACCTTCATTGACCTTTTTGAATGAGAAAATGAAGCCTATGCTATTTACATGATATTACCTGATGTTTATAATCTTGCTATAAGTTATCACTTTTTCCATCAAAAATACTGAAATATTGCATTTTGTGTGTGTGAGAGAGAGAGAGAGAGAGAGAGAGAGAGAGAGAGAGGCAATATTACCGTCCACTTCAGAGTAGGTGATGTGGAAGCCCCTGTCACTGAGGCTCTCGTCAGAGTGAAACCTGACCTGGGCCACGGGGCCTGTCGTCCTGATAGGGGCGGGTTCAGAGGTGCTACAGTACCTTCCCAACAGGGGATCTGTCTCTAACAGTCCGTCTCGTAGCTGGAAATAGTCAAATTTATTCATACATGAATAAATGAATATGTTTATGAAAAACCATGCATACACGTGTTCAGGGGCACACGCACAACGTGGGCACACACACATGAACAAGTTCACAACATGTACAAACACACATACAGAGTTTTTAAACATTAAAATACTATACAAGCAAACTATTAATGCTCTGTTGGCATAAACCTATCCTTGATTAAATATATAATACTATATGTATGATGAGCTGACAAAAAAGTAATAAACATTTTTCCATTTTTATGTTTTCATAAAAGTGAAAACGTTTCACAGTTATATATACTATTATACATCATAATACTTGTTGGGCAGGGTCACTTTCTATTCACTTTTATAGTTTGTTAGGTAATAAATAAAGCCCTTCTTGGCACTTAAGTTACTCATGATCAGGGCACTAATTTTCTTTGGTTATATTTTATGGTGCAGTTACATATACTGAAACAAA